TCCTCGTTGTAATGTTACCGGGTTGGGCTCTTTTTTTTTTTTTTTAAGTTTTCTCCTCTGTTTTTCGTTTGAAATATAAATTCTCTTGAAATGACATAACAGTTAGCAACTCTTGGTGCGGAAATGAGCCGTAAAATTTTAATAGAGTGCAATCTGCTATCTTGTCACTTTGCCGTTTTTCAACTTTTTTTTTTTTCAATTTTTTTTTATTATCGTCTCCGCCAAAATTTGTTTTTATGAGGTTCTGTAAAATTATGGGAGATGGTTTTTTGACATAACTCAGTACCAACTTTGTACTCGATAGGGTTATAATATTTCTCACTGAAGTCGCTGCATGCGTAACTGGCAGTTTAGGGAGCAGTTCAGCGATGGCTGTTTGTAAAACGTGACCTTTGAATCACCGATGCACTTTTTCACCGTCGTCTTAGTGGCTCCCTTTGCGCTGCATAGGGGAAACAGAAATTATCGCAGATCAATTGTTTTTTTATTTATTGAAATAACCAAGTAGCTCTCGAGTTCTTGTTCAATCGGATTAAATCGTCAAATGTTGGTTATACTATAGTATGATAGAAGAAAACAAAAAAACTTATAATTTACACAGCGCAAGGATAAAATTCTGGATTAGTCAAAACTTAGCCCTAGCGCTTAATTAACAGTGTGCGGAGGCAGTAGGAAATTTTTCTTTGCCTGCGAAGTTTGTTACTTCTTGGGTCAATAGGGTTATCGTACATTGTTGTTTTGGTAAAATAACTTATTTTTCGTGCACTGACCAAAATTTATCGTTTTGATTGTAGGGAAAACGTGTGGTTTGTTGTTTATGCCACACGAGCTTCACATGCGACGCAAAAACTTCATTTGGAAGGCAAAGAATAGAGGAGAAGATGGTGTGTCATATACTCTTCTCATGTCAAGCAGCTCATACCTGTTTCCTGTGCTGTGATAACAAGCGTATCCCCCCCGACCAGCTTGAACTGCACCGTACCACGAGTCACCGACCTTCTTTCGAAAGGTTTCTCTCATTTTTCAGCTTTTTTGCCAGCGTCTTCCTATTTTTTTTCTTTGTTTATTGTGAACGACCTCTTTTTTTTTAAAGATTTTTTTATTGATTCTCTTCAATCTGTGGCTTGCTTATTCCTTTCGTTTAGGTTTGGATGTTCAAGTTGTGGCTTGAAGTTTTCAAACTGCTGGAATTTTTGGAATCACATGTGTTGCAAGAAAGTGGTGTGCTCATGTGGGGACAGGAAGCTGTATTCTGAGACGGAATATCAGCAGCATTTTGAGACTCATTTGAATCGGGCGCAAGATTTTTGTCTTCTCTGTAACAAGTTCTTACCGACGGTGTGCAAGTTTTTTCAATTTTTTTATTTTTTTCTCAGTTCAAGAAATTCCTTCAATATTTTTTTAAAGTGAAGTGGTAGACAAATCATTGTTCGTATTGCTACGCAGTTTTAGAAACGAAGTGTAGCTGACGGCTTATTTTACATGTTAATGTTTTTTAGCAGAGGCAGAAAGAAGCTCATAGGGAAATACATGTGTCTATTCATCAGATAGATCGAAAAATGATTGAATATGATTTTTTAAAGACATCTGGACAAGAATTAGAGTCATCTTCAAGCAATATCTCACTGATATCGGTAAGATATCGAAATTTTTGCTTTTTTCATGCACTTTTCATATCCTTTCGTCTTTATCTTATTCCTCACAGATAAAATCAGATAAAGTGGTAGTAGAAGGTGGTTCTCGTAAAGTCGCTAGTAGTGGTGATGTGCGGAAGGATTGTTCTTCATCACGGAATGCTAAAGGACATGATTGTGCAAAGGAAGTCAGCAGGAAGTTGCCGGAAGGAATTAATGGTAACTGTTTGGAAAACCTTATTTCTCTATGATTATTTTTTCAGTGTTTTCAGTTTTATTACAGTGATTTGCAATTATGTTTTTTTAGTTAATTTAGGTTGTAGAAGTTCACTAGAACTACCTCTTACCGCCGGCTCTGCGAAAACTAGAAATTATTTGTGTCATGAAGAGGAAGTGCTTTGTGTTGTGACTCCTACTGTTAGCTGGCAGCAGTGTGGTGCGAAAGAGATTGAATTTGGTTTGTTTTTTTACTCTCTGTTTACTTTCTTGAATATCATAGATACTTTTATCTGATAGTTTGTTCTTCTAGAATCTGAGCGAAAAGCTGTAGCTGATATTGTAGAAAAAATATTGGGTAGCGTTTGTCGTTCTTCAAGTAACGATTTTTCCAGTTAGTTTTCTTTTACTCACTCATGTTTATTCAGTTCACTTTCTTTGCAGCAGACGTCATATTCTTTTTAGTTAGCCCCACCTACTTTGTTGCATAAGCGGGTGAAACTAAATCTAGGAAATTTTATCCTCTGTAGATACAAATTGGCGTTAATTATCCGTTTTCAGATTCCACAGTCGAACAGCGTACTCTTACTCACTCTGACGCATCTCACAAAGCGCTTAAAAAGCCGTTGAGCGATAATGCTGGTAATGGTGGTTTTACTGTTGCTGGAGGTCGAAAATCTCCAGTACTTTCTAATGACCATGTCTCAGTTGCTTTGAGCGGGAGTCAGTCTACTCTCGTCGATAGGCCGATCAACACATCTGTTAGGATTCAGCGTAAAAAAGTGCCAGCTGTGCTTAAGAAAACTAGAATTGATGTCAATCAAAGGACTACTGAAGTAAACAAAGAATTTTCAAAAGACAAAGCGCTCTGTGCAGAAAATCGGACAGCAGAGAGTTCACTTCATGAGATACTGAGGTCGGGAGCCCAGCTTACATCTGCAAGTTCTGGTCATGCTGAAGAGGCTGGGGATTCCGCATCTCCACGAAAGCAAGAAGAAAGCATTATTGCTACTGCGCCAAGGAATGATGATACGTATGCATCATATGGAATTTTACAAGGCATCTTAGTGACAACTGTTCCAAGGCCGTCAAGCGACAGTGTGGATGGGCAGGATCGTGAAAGAGGAGTGTCTGAAAAGGTTTTTGATGAAATTTTCTTTTTTTCTACGGTAGAGTATCGTAGAGGTTTGTTCCTATAGCAAACTTTTGCTTTCACGGTAGTTTGTTGAGGGTTTTTGTTTTTTGCATATTCTGAAGATTAGCAGTGAAGAGGAGTTTTGGAGGAGGTAATTTTTCAGATTCTAGTTCAAACGAATTGGCGTACTATAGATAAAGGCTTTGTGTGGAAAGTTGGTGTGAGGTTCTTTGCAGATTTGTAAGTTATTGATAATAGAAGTGATATCCGCACAGGGGAAGGCTAAAATGCTCTGTTGCAGACAGATTCTGCATAGAGTTCCTTTTGGCAGTATGATTCTTTAGCGGTGGAAGTGATTTTTTTTCATCTTGTTTAATGCTTGGGATAAAAGCTTTGCATGTCTCACATTTCGTATCTCTCCTTTGCTGTTTTTCACATTGTAAAAAAAGTAAGTGGAATCGTTTCGTTTTCGAAGAATACTGTTTTTGAGTATTTGTTATTGTGTTTTTCAAAATCGTTTTTCTGTACTTTTTTCAGAGTTCCCCAGGAAGTTTGTTTTATTATTTAATTTGTTAGAAATCTTTTGCTTCTCTGGTGCAAGAAGCAATTAGGATTTTTTGAGAGGGAAGCATTTTTTTTTTTTTTTGTGCATTTTTTGCTGCTGAATGTTGGCGCCGTTTGTCTTTGTGCAGTAACTTAGTTGGAGCTTTTTGCCTTGCGTTCATAAGTTGCTGAAAGGGGCTTGTTTTGATGTTATTTTTCTTGAACTATATTGTTGGTCGTGTAAAAGGGGATTTTCATACATTCGTATAGCTCTAGAAGGGAGCTGCCTGTTGTATTTACTCCGTCGATGTCTGCTAAGGGGAAAACTGTATAGGATAAAATTGGAACAGTTCTTGTTTGTTTTATTGGCGCTAATCCTAAATCTTTTTAGGAAAGGGATTCATTGTACAGGAAATATAAAATGATGTTTTGTTATCTTTCATTTACATCCGGTCACACGCCGTTTTCTCGGTGGTTCTCAACAGTATTTTTTGTTGGTACAACTTTGGAGAAAGAATTTAAAAATTATGGATGTAAGTAGTTGGGAAATAGCTGGTAGGGTTTACAACTAGGCAATTTGATTTTACGGTACCACTTGAGAGATTGTCAGTGGCGTGGCGTTTATGACTTTGCATTACCGATGAAGAACCAGCTTCAACGCATTAGGTTTTGCACTGTCATTAGCATTTTGGGTTTTGCTTTATCCCGTCATTTTTAGCAGACTTCTAACGCATCAAGCTCTAGTGCAGCTTCAGGTGAAGCTTCGAAAGGTGAAGACGATGATGTGAAGTATCTGGGCACTTTTGA